CCGATAAATTATGTTAATAATTTCTTTTAACAAGTTAACAGTTAGAGACAATTTTATTTCTCTTCTAATTTTACTTTATTTCTTAATTGATAAAACCGGATAACCATTATGAAAATATCGGAAATAAAAAATGCGTATTTTTTTTATATTTTGTAAAATGTCGATATGTAATACACTATATAAGAGTATACGACATCATTATACAAATCAATAGAGAGTTATTTAACTACTAAAAGTCAATATCTTCCTACAAAAGGTGCATCTGCGATATTTATTGAAAAGACAATGAGAGATTGTGTAAGATATGCATATCTTTTTTTGTATTTTCCAGCAAAGATTGAGATAAATCGTCATTGTATTCGACTGTTAAATCGTCGTTTGATGGTCATCAAATGTGCGACGATAACCGCCTCGCGCACAATACGCGCCATATTTATTGGCTATAAATTATAGTTAGTCCATAATTTGCCACCCGTGAGCTAATGACACGACGTCGTATAAATCACGAGACACGCTCGGCAAGTCGCGCTTCGGCGATATGCCGAAATGATTTCGCGCTATATAATGATTCATAATTGGCAATTCAGAAGTTATAATGCGGATTAATTCCAAAGCAGATCGCACACGTAGCGCATTAACAAGCCACTCCAATTTAACTGGTACACAATTTATTTATTCTATTTTATTCTTTCACTTATCGTTATTCGTGTGTGAGAATGTTCGTACATTAGATATCTATAATCTTTCTTCTTTTTTATTAAATATAAAAAGATTTCGTAAATAGAATAAATCGTTGATAAAGTTTTCTTTAATTTATTTTGTTATCTCTCTCTATTACTTTGTCAAATAAAAATTAGCAGAAGAGATGCGGCAAAAAGCCGCAGATAATTATCCGATGAAAAAAATCAACTTTTCCGCATCAAAGTCTCCGAGATAGCTCGTTAGAGAACGAAGCCGTCACAACTTCGCTAATCAGGTGAGATTTTTTTGACAACCGCGCGCATATCACTCATGCGGGGCCACAGTCACCCCCCCCCCACAGTTCGATCGTTACGTCTCCCCCTCCTCCCTCTCCCTCCCCGTTCGCCGTTCGCGTTCATCGCGGGCTCTTCTATTTATCCGACAACGCATAAATATCCTCGCGAGACGACAATCAAAGGGGACTGCGGAGTAATCCCGTAAGGGCGACGCGCATTACTCCTACCTGATGCGCCATTAAAACGTCGTCGATGCACTTAAAACGTGAGTAAGAACTCTCCTCGTCTGTGTAGCACCGGCGTGTTCCCCCCCTCCCTCCTCTCGCCCTTCCGCTCCTCCTTCGTTTTTCTCTCTCGATCTTTCTTCCGTTCTCGCGCCGTCCCCCTCATTCGGGATTCGTGTGGTTCGCTCGCTCAATCCGCTTGAAACGTGGCGTGTGGCCCGTAGACATCGTCGAGCCGCACCCACGCACGCTATTTATCTCGTCTGCCGAAGCCGAGTGCCAAGAGAGTATTTTTTCGCATGCCGCCTCACGGGTCTTTTTCTCTCTTTCTATCCCTCGTTCTGGTTAACGCAACCAGGGACCCCCGGGACCCCCTAGTCGCCTTCCTACGCCACAAGTCTATCGCTCTCCTCCACTTTCGATGTTCGCCTCGCCGTGTTACAAGGAAGCACAGATAATGGGCCACGCGACGAAATCGTATCGAAGAGAGGATGGTGGTGTTACTTTTTAAATAAAAGATACTTCCTAAGAGCTTTCTGGCTTCATCAATTGGATGCTCTTAACTGAGTTGAGATTATATATACAATTGCGAGAGAGAGAGAGAGAGAGAGAGAGAGAGTGTGTGTGTGTGCGCGTGCCAGAATTTTATTAAATAAAAAAATAAACGCATTTTTATTTATAATTTTGAAAATATCTTTGATACGTGCTTTAATTGAAAAGCTCAAATCGAGAGACAAGGCAGCCAGTGATCCCTCGTTTTCGTTGTCATTCACCGTAAAAATATCGTATACGATTGCAAATCGCGTGACCAGAAATTATTGTCCGCTACCGGAGACAAGCGTTTCCTCGCTATATTTTTTCACGAATTTATTTACGAGGAAAAATCTAAAATAACGCGACGCGTTATAGCGCACACGCGTATAAAAAAGAAGTGCAGGAGTCGTGCAATTAATAATTTCGCGAAGTCATCCATCTTTCTTAAGTATCGCCTTAAAGCAAGCAGCAGGGGCTGCTGGTTGCAACGCGGAGGTGTGTGTTAGTCGTATAATAATCGCCACCGAGAAAAGTCCGCTCGTAAAGCCGCGTCCCTCGCAACTTCGTTTCTAGAAACGCGATAAAACTGCAGCAGCAGCAGCAGCACAGTAGCAGCATAATTGCATGCAGCTCGACCCGTAGGTTAAAAATTACCACGGTGACAATGTCTGTACAACGCGTGATCTATTTATAGATCTAGTCGGAAGATCTCTTCCTCCGTTCGATGTTTCGGCATTATCCTATTCCCGGGAAGAAAAGCAATTATAGTGCTTCGCGTTTAGCGCGTCGTAATAATACTTTTTTCCGGGATTCTCCTAAGTCTCCGTGGAGGAGGATCTCTGCGAATTTTTATGAGAAGGTGAACACACTCGACGCCCATAATTCTCCGGATGGCGAGGGTGAGTCAGAGGAGAACGCGCCATCGCGCCATCCCCCTTGTTCCTGTTCTCCCGAGACTGCGGGTTGCTTTCCCGATTTTACCTCATCGTGAATTAGTTACGTACACGCGACGCGAAGCGTCGATGGCGATCCATATCATCGCGACGCGATCGGATTTCATTGTCTCGTCTTCGAGAGTGCCTCGAATCTAATTGAACGCGGCCCCGCAATGGCTCTCGATTTTCAAGGAGAGCCTTCGATTAAAGCGGAACAAAGCGTTGACGGCAGTTGCCTTACATTCATCACACTACCAGAGTACCCCGCCGCAGTCGCACCCCTCCTTCACGTTCAAATAAATACATTCGGATACGTGCAAACGTTAGTGGATGTAAATTAACTCTTGAAATACAGATGCATATTACGATAATGCGGTCTTGGGAGATGTTAATTCGGTCTGCGTGCAATATAACGGACGTAGACTTAAAACATCATAATGCCACAATGCGATATGTAATTGTAAGAAATGTATAGTTTTTATTATCAGGAATAATTTAGATAAGATGTACATTAACTAGATAGCTAAACATAAGAAGAAAAATGCATTAGAAAATAATGAGAATTATGAAAAAGAAATCATACAATATTAAATTTGAAATAACAACAAAAGAGCAGCAATTTCTGGAGTATATTGGAAAACCATTAATTAAATATGAAGCGTAAAAACGTTTATTGCTGTTAATCTTTTGCTTTTGCGTAAAATACTTACAATTAGTAAATACAAACAGCCGCATGTGAGCGGTATATGTATGCATCAGTACGTTCGAGGAGACGCAGATATTGGCTGGCTCTGCTTAAAGCTGCATTTCCGAGACGCGCAAGAATATTGGCGACATAGCTAATAGGTATATCGTTAATAATTGTAATTATTGAACGTTCATCGATATTGCGGTAAGACCTCTCTTTGTGCACCCTTTAGGCGCCAGACAAACGACGGTTACATTATTGCGGCTCCACGCGCGTTAACAATACGGATCACTGTGCTCCCCTCGCGCTTATAATTTTATGTTCAACTTAACTTCATGGATATCAATGTCGTTCGCACTGAGATTGTGCCTTTCAGAGGCTTAATTGCTTCGCTATCATAATTGCGCTATTTTATCGTGATTCCCGATTAACACGAAAAATTATATCCGGCTCTTTCTCGAATTATTTAATCTCTTAGCGAGCTTTTATTTCGTAAGGATGATTTTATAAATCGCCTTTGCTACAGTAAGTCTTCTTATTATAGTAAGAAGACAAAGACCGAAGTTAAATGACGTTAGCGAAATCGGCCTTCGGCCGCGCCAAAGAAATTTCTCCCCGCGCCTTTATCCGATCGACATCAGAATTACGTTAACTACTCCTTGGAATTGCATGCGGCATGCATGCCGATCGGTCTATGGTGGGCGTTTTCTCGATAAACGACACGAATTTTCGTAGAAAAGGAAATTGTTCTCGTCGGCCTGCGAGCCGCGTGATGAAATTACGCGCCCGCAAAGCCCGCTCGCAAAAGACGGCACTGTCTCGAGGGTTTTTTCGGGGTGGCATGACGTGGTGCCTCCACCCTCTCATTCGTCCCATTAGATGTATACCCTTCACACACACACACACACACACACACACACACACACACACACCCGTGCGTTCATGAACAACGAAACGAAACGCGACGGTCGCTTGCCACGGTGCCCTTCCTGCGGCACGATTTCGAAGTCCTTCCTGACCCTTAAGTCGGGCCCCCCCTCTCCCTCCATATCTTCGTCATTGTTCTTGGACGATTTGCGCCCGTAGGCGAGATCAGCTGTATCATCAATGCGTATCTCCCGTATAGAGATACGTGAAGAAGCAACTCTGCAACGTCCCCTCCAAAGGAAACTGGATACATATACCGTAATCCAAGATGTAGATATGTAGATGCATATATGGAATAAGTAAAAAAAGAAGATATTCGTACATATTATACTTTTCTTAATTATTATATTAATTCACTTACTTATTTATCTCATTTTCATCTCATTCAAAGAGGAAAGATATTGCGTTTTCATTGTTATGTTTTATTGTTACAAATTATGGTTAATTAATAAACTTCCCAATTTTGATTTAATAATACATTACTCGATATAAATAAAGTATAATATTTAAAGTTTGACAGATTTTAGTGGAATCACAGTTCGGCTCGGCATATCCGATTCCACATTTAGTGGCCTTGATTTGCCTTGGCTTTGATTCACTCGTACGATTTAATTCGAAGAAATGAGTAGTTTAAAATAGTACGCCCGGTATATTTGGACACTGCCATGTGTTCCGGGAAGTGAGCCGCGATTAGACGGAACTATTCTGTTCAACTCGAAACAGTAAACTTTTGTGAACAATTTCACCATTTTTCTTTTTTTTATGGGAAAAAGTTTGCAAACTTATATTTTAATTGCACGTATAAATTATCAGAAAATTTTATACAGAAAATCTTTTACGAATCGCGGAGAAAAATGCCAATTATAAAAGTGCCGCGAACATATTTCTTTCCACGTATTCTTCGAAGATAAAAAAAGACCTGTGTTAACCAATGTAATGATTATGACACGGCCGGAATGTGCAGTCGTCAGTCGAATTCATGTCTCTCCGTGCTTTCTCACATTATGTAACGTAATCAAAGAAAATCGTACGATGCCCGTTTCGGCAGGCCACGCGTTGATCCAGCTCTCGGATGTTCCAGCTCTGATTACTGTCGAGTTAGCATATAAATTCTAGTGGCCTTATCCTCTGTGACCCGTCAGCGAAACCGAAGCAATGTCCTGAGTTGCCGAGCTGCTTCGCGATTAATGTAATTCACAGTTGAAATATGAATTAGGATTTCTCCATAGATTCATGATTAAAGACTGAAGAAGCAGGGAATAATTTATTGATTTGAATATATTCAAGATTTCAGCATTTATTTAAGAAAAGGAGAAGAGAGAGAGAGAGAGAGATTTTTAAACGCGCTTCCATTATTTTCCCAAAATATTTAACGAAGAATTACACGCGATAAAAAGATTAGAAACGAAAACTGCTTATCAAAATTTAACGGTAACACAGAACAATATAGGAACTTCTCTCATTATCTCAGATTAGTATTTACAATTTTCTACCGCTTCACTACTTTCAACGACTGCACTGCTCTCCTGCAAAGAGAGCATCGCCTGTACGCCAAAGGAGTATACACTCTATATCGAGAAGGGATAGAGTTTCCTTTATTCACATTCAATGCAACTCCTCCTCCCAAAGTGTTTGAAGAAATGCAGGTCAACCCCTTCCACTAATTCAAACGGTATGACCCAAATTCAAGGAGTAATACACAACGCGTCCTAAAAATATAAAATATCGTAAGACGAGTTAGTCTAAAAATGTTGCATGTGAGAGTATGAAAAGAATATTTAATTATTCTATGACAAACATCCAGTAAAGAATTAAAGGAGATTATTTTTTTTTATAGATCCCAATTATGCCATTCAGATTTAATCGACACACGAATTTATATTAATTAATAAAAAATATTTATTTTAGTCGGAGAGAATTGCACTCAAACGAAATTGCACAGAATACCATATCGTAATTGGAAAATCAAAATAAAGCGTAAGAGATTGCACGGACAATGACGCGTAAAACGGACGATAGAGGAACGAGACAAAGAGGGCGAAACACCTGCGAATACGTGCCTATAGGAAGCGTCGTTGTGCGATATTGAAAAAAAAAAGAGAAAAATGGAAACGGTACAATGGTGTTCGTGCGCTCGGTATATGACAGCTGCTGTCACGGGTAGTGCTCCGACCATGTGCTCGGTGCACGCCGAGCATTTCCTACATCCACCCTCGACGCATCGCGACGAGAGTACAGTACGCCTCAACACTATGATGAAAATCCCGATGGGATCGACTATTCAATGCAGTTTGTCATCGAAATCTGTGTATTATCATACATGTAACGTAATTCTGCGCATTAAAGTGTTCGCCAAATTTTTGGTTGAACAAAAAGCAAGCTTCAAGTCCGTCAAGTACTGTGCTAGAGATATATGATGTAAATAATAGAGCTCCCCGTCATGCGAAATAAATTTTGTGTATGAAAGAAACGTTACGGAGCGGATTTCCCGTTGAAATTCGCGGAAAACAATCACGTTTCAGCGATGAGTTTTGGCAATGTACCATTTAAATCGGTATACCGACTGCGACGCTTTGTTTATCGTTAGAATTCATCGCGATCTAGAAATAAACGTATCCAGTACATATAGCAACAAAGATGTTTACACTGAATGTTTCGACCGAACGATTTATCTGCCAATATTTATAGCAAACGAATTGTTTAACGGAAAAGTAGTGATATTCAGCCGGCACAAACTTGCAATTAAAATTATTCTTGAAACTGTCATAATTAGTCGTGGGCTCTCCTAGTCTCATCGTTTCAAGCGTTAATAGTCGAAAGTCTCATCTCGCTCGCGTTGTAAGTAGGATTGCCATCCGTCCTCTTTTCCCCGGA